ATTAGTTGAATATATTATAAAGTTATCATTTATTTTTGTACATCTACGTCTGGTATATGAATTATTAGTWATTGGAATGTAATTAGATTCAGACATGAGTGTATCAAAATTTAAAGTAATAATTTTCTTCGATRATTTACATTCTAATAACAAAATCCATGATGAATAATGTTTATAAAAAAATGTTTCAGTCAATCAATATACATAAAATATTAAAATCTATTACAATCACAGAACAATTTAGGTATGATATAAGTTTATATAACTGATGAAACACATAATTTGGACTGAGGTTTTTTCCTCTGTAAACATATTATAAACTAAATCTGTTAAATAAAAAAAAAAATGAATTACTTCAGATAATRTTAATTTTGGGAAAACAATTTGAAATTAAGAATTAAGTTTATATTGTAATCATAATAATTGTATTAATTAACAATTATTATTGTATAAATATTGTTTTCCACTTCCCCATAGGATTTTTGCTCTGTAAAATTGTCCACATATTTATAGTACCTACCAGACGGTTTCCTTATCAGTTATCATAATTCGATGTAATCAGTTTAATATCTTAAATCTTTATCAGTATTACCACATTTTTTTTAAGCAATGCCTCAATGCTTTTACATTCAAAATTTTGAACATTAATATTAAATATTTATTTTTTGCTTTGTACTTTGGAAGTTTATTTTCAATATTTATGAAACCATATGCAACTTAGAATTGAATTGTTTTTATAACGAGTTTCTATAATGTCGAAAATATTTACTCCAACTAATCAAATTCGTCTCACTAATGTAGCTGTCGTTCGGATGAAGAAAAATGGTAAACGATTCGAAATAGCATGCTATAAGAATAAAGTAGTTTCGTGGAGAAATGGCATGTATGTTAACACTGGCTATAACACTTATTGTTAAGATAATGTTAAATATTTTCTTACTTGTTTTGCTTCAATAGTGAAAAAGATATTGATGAGGTGTTACAAACACACTCKGTGTTCACTAACGTATCCAAAGGCCAAGTGGCCAAAAAGGAAGATTTACAAAAGATTTTTGACACTGAGAACACTACCGATATTTGCAAACATATATTAGAGAAAGGAGAGTTACAGATTTCTGATAAAGAAAGATCAGCTCAATTGGATGCGTCTTATAAAGATATTGCCACTATTGTTGCGGGTATAATAAATAAATAATAAAATATTA